GCCAAATAGCACGTATTTATTGTTTGTTTTGCCATCAAGTCTCAAATGCATGTTTATGTACTTAATGTAGCCAGTGCAATTTGTTTTATTCATTTTCACAGTTGTTCATTGTTTAGTTCTGCACATTGATTCATTCCTCCATTTGTTCATTAGTTTGTTTATACATTCATTCATTTTTTCATTAATTCATTTGTTCATTAATTCATTTGTTCATTCATTCATTTGTTCATTCGTTCGTTCGTTCATTCGTTCGTTCGTTCGTTCGTTCGTTCGTTCGTTCATTCATTCATTCGTTCATTCCTTTGTTCATCCGTTCATTTGTTCAACAGTTCATTTTTTAATTTTTCAGTACTGTTTTCATTCATTTGTTTGATTGTTCGTGCATTCATTCACCCATTCATTCATTCATTTGTTCATTCATACACAGATTTATTTAGAAAGAATTAATATGAAAGGAATCTATTTTTAGGAACAAATGAAGAATTAAATAAACTCTCTATGGTTATAAATCTTGAAATCTACCATCAAACTTTTTTCTAATTAGATTACACATACACACACACACACACACAAGCACACACATACAGACACATACACACACACACACACACACACACATACAGACACACACACACAGATACATACACTCATTTATACACACACACATATATATATATATATATATATATATATATATATATATATATATATATATATATATATATATACATAAAAACAATTGCATACAAACAAACATAGAAAAAATATAAACACAGACACATACAAAAATACATACAAACACATGTCAAAAACATTCAAACAAACATACTACTAAATAAACACACGTAAAAAAAAGGGTTAACATTGAACTTTTTACGGGAAAAAATCGTGAAGGCAAGGCGGCAAATGTTGAAAAGCAATTAAATGATTATACCAAACATCATCCTCATCATCCTCTTCATCATCATACACACACAACACACACACACATACACACACACACACACACACATACATACCTACATGTTTCCTGTTTAATTCGTGTATTTTGTTACACGTGCTAATGTTTTTTCTTATCTTTATTATCTTTTTTTGTTTTCTCTCTACTCTCTCTCTCTCTCTCTCTCTCTCTCTCTCTCTCTCTCTCTCTCTCTCTCTTAGTCGATAATTATTCATTCAGCTTTTTTTATTTTTAATTTTAATCTAAACATTCTTATCTATGTTCTTTATTCGTCAATTCTTTTTCTTTATTTTTACTCTCTTTCTTTCTCTCTCTTTCTCTCTCTCTCTCTCTCTCTTTCTTTCTTTCCCTTTCTCTCTTTCTCTCTCTCTCTTTCTAAAACAAAATAATATCGATTGATAAACTAAAAAAACACATTGACGCATAAAAGTATGGGCAGTGCTATGGTGTAATGGTCTGGGAGGCTAGCACTGCTGTTGAAGTGACTAGGTTCAAATGCACATGCAGTCTACGTGTACGTTGGGTTGTTTCAAGTGTATTCACATACACATACACTGTATGTCTGTGGCTGTTGTTGATATTTTTGAAATACTCCAAAGAGAAAATGGTTTACAAAACTTGAAAAAATGTTCCCAGCATTTGAAGTATAAAAATTCTTCAGTAAAATTTAATTTAGTAAAATTTAATTTAATAAAGTTTAATTTAGTAAAGTTTAATTTATCTATTATCAGTTTGAATGTCAAATAATCAATTGTAAATGACAAAAATACGCGATTAACTCGGTTAGATCTTTATTAAAATTTCATTTAACGACAAACCTTCTTCGTTTAATTGACGAGGGGATTAACTTTTTTCCGTAATAGATTTTTGTATGAAAATAATATCCACTCAAAAATATTGTCACAAAACTTCAAAACTATTAAATCAAGTCACATTAAAAAAAATCGTCTATATCGATATCTGAACTCTAATATATCGAACTATGATACTTACATCAAACTATGACACTTATATCAAACTATGATACCTATATCGAACTATCATACACATATCGAAGTACGATACCTATATCAAACTACGATACTTATATTGAACTATGATACCTATATCGAACTATGATACCTATTTCAAACTATGATACTCATGTCAAACTAAAATATCTGTATCGAACTCAATTGCTTCAAATTCGAATTATGAGGACTATCTTCTGCAAGTGTCAAAAAGAACAAGTTGAATGAATGACTACATTGAAAATTCTGTGATAATATGGCTTCTTAACTTGGCTTAACTACCTCTTTTCTAAAAACTTTTTGTGAAACTATAGTGAACATTACTTTATGACGTTGTTTCATATTAAAACAACATACATACATAAATATATTCATGTATTGATACATTTGTTTCTGTATGTACGTATGTGTTTGAGTGTGTGCGTGTGTGTGTAAATGTGTTGTGTG